CGTCAAAGCACAAGTTGTTCAAACACCTTCAAACTCCATCGAACATGTTACATTTGATGCTGCATTCAGAAGGTGACCGAACTCCATCCAATACGTTTGATACTCCATGCAAAAACACCATCAAACAAGGAACGCCTTTAAGCACCATATCGCGCGAACAATTTTGATGTTCCATCCAACAATTAATGTCTAACACCATCAAAAAAGGTGGCCGAACACCTTCAGACTCCATCTGACATGTATGATGTTTCATTCAAAAACATCAAACAAAGTGTGCCAGGCGGTAAAATGATTTATTATATATATAACGAGACTTTCATAGAGTAAATGGCATAAATAGAAATCTATATGCTATATTTTCACATGTGAAAAATAGCGATACGTCCAATCAGAAGCGCGTATAGCATTTTTCACATGTGAAAATATAACCAATCACAGCACAGAAAAACCGTAATCAGCCAATCAGAAAGCGACATTCACAACACTGAAATGGCTTCTCTCACATACCGCGCGTTGATGGCAAAATGGCTGAAGGTGAACTGTGTTTGTTGATCAAAATTCCACATTTGAAGAGTTTATTAGTGGACAGGAGGGCAAACAAACTAAAGCAAAGTAAGAAGACATGTTTTTTTTTTTTTCAAGAGAATTAAGTTTTTTGCTATCCAGAATGAACATGAAAGCATGGAAAACATCAGCCAAAACTATAAACTTAAACGAACAGAATTTTGTCTCGTTCGTGTTCAGGTCGTTTTATACCGAGTTTTGATCGTTTTCTGCAAAACTTAACCTAATCTCCATGCAATTTAGAAAGACAGGACTTCAGTAAGACAAGAAATGTAGCTGTAGGAAAGCTGAATCAGATCAAACGAAGAGGGAAATTGCAGCGCGCGTTATCTTGCATACCAGCCAAGAGAAGTAGGTTTCTCGACGAAGAACTTTTATTTCTTACTCTACTTACTATAAAATTTCGCTAAAACTTGTACGCTCTTGCAGCTTCAGTGGAAAGAACGACTATTAATTTATCTGTTTTTTTAATCAAGTTTATTAAGTTCCGAATTATCTGTGCATTTTAATTTTATCTACATAAGCTCATATTGAGTTTGGTTTCTCATAAGTTAATTAATAGTTAAACAAGCTTATTAAAAAGTATGCCAAATGAAAGTCTCGTTATATATATATAATAAACAGTTTATAGCATGGAAAGTGCTTTGTACGGGATTTTATTCACTCGTTCAGTTTGCATCATAAACTCACTCGCTCGTTCCTCGCTCGTTCGTTGTATGATGCAAACAACTCGTGAATAAAAACCCGTACGTCGCACTTTCCATGAAATAAACTATATTTACGACATAATTTGCTTTCAAATGTAATTATATGATACACAGAATATTACATGGTCACTTGAAGATACGAATTTTATCTTCTCGTGTTGAAACACGCTCATCTTTTCAACACTCGAAGATAAAATCCGTATCTCCGCGCGCGCATGTAATATCCTCTATATCTTTGTATCTCTGAATCTCTTTTTATTTCGTTAAAATATGATGAGAAACAGAACAGACGCTACTGTGGTTGATGCTTTCATTTTTCTCGAGCTTTCGCTGGACACCAGCATCATCGGGAGAGGGAACATTTACAAGTAATTTATGTATATATAGCTGCGTTCTGATCCTCTGGAGCGAGGAGGTTGTACATGAAGTATGAATAGCATAAATCAAAGAAGAGGTTATAAATCAACAATATTTATTATATTATATTATATTATTATATTATATATTATATTTATTAATATTCTGAAAGAAGAGTCAAAATTCATTCGCAGTGAAAATAGTCATAACTTGTATTCCTGATATNCAAAAAGCACAAACAAGTTCCAGTAAAACTCCCTACAAAACTCATTACCAGAGCAAAATGAGGAACCAAAATAACAAAGAACAAAGCAAGGGTCAGAATAAGGGTCCTTAAGATGATGAGCCACACCCAGTGGAATTTCCTTCCAGGACCCAAGTGAGGGAAAAACCCAAGAAATTTGGCATCAACAGTCTCAAGGATTACAAACAAATTAATAGGGAAGGCAAGGAAAACATTACTAATGACAAACAAATTGGCTAAGATATTGAAAACAAAGCTAGTCTTCATGTTGACGGTGATAACTTGATTTGTATTGGTACCAAAAACCAACACTGCAAGTAGACCAAGAAGAACTTTGATAACAGCAGCAAAAGTGAAAGACCCATTCATCATTAATGGATATTTGCGGGGTTCCTTCATGCTTGATTCAATACCAGGGAACACAATAATACCAAAGCCAACTGGAAAGTCTTTAAAACTGAATGGTGGAATCTTATCAATGGACATCAACTTGTATTGCGTGACACAGCAGATAATCATCGTCAAGATACCTGCCACGAGCGCAAACACAGACACCATACTGAACCAGGCAATGATTGACACCCTCCTGACAAAGGCCAAAGGTAGAGCAACATACGTACAAATGACTGCCCAGTGAGATATGTTCAGGGGGGTGATGTTCTTGAATAAGTCACTAAATATAGTAGCAAGAAGTACAATGTACATAATGGTAGCACCAAACATCTCACAGACTTGTATGACACTAATAATGTTGTTTCCCCAGCGAGGCCATACTGCTTCACCTAAAATCGTTATTTAGAAAATCGTCAAGCTCGGTTTACTGCACGATTAGTGAATATATTTGTAAACAATTGTAATATATATTATATAAATTTACTAAAACATATAATATTTTCTTGGAAAAAAAGATCATTCGCAGATAGTTTGGCTTAAAATAACAATTGATATAAACCGCGTTAAATGTAACACACATGTAATATATAATATATTCGCCATCACATCAAAGTATATGAACAATTTGTATTCATAGCCGTCTTATAGTGAAACAACAATGACTCAATGTTCATGATCTTTCATTACAGGATGCCATTCGTTGCTTATGTAAGAAGATAAAACTAAACACCGCAAAAAAGAAGTTTACCGCTAGTTCCCATCATTTGTTGCTTCATGTTTTGGGAACAAACCGACCAACAAATTCCAAATTTTCAAATCACGGTGTCAGCATTAAAACAAGATTTCTACAAAGTGATTAATATTACATGACATGGCCAATAACTGAAAATGTCTTGCAAATTTTGAAAGAAAAAAATAATTTGTGGGAACATTTGATTGAAGTCTTCCTTGATGTCATGTAATTGGTGGGTTGCATGTGACGTCATACTCAAGCAAAAAATATCGAAAAATTCAAGATATTTTTTCTAAAGAGCTCTTCTTACTGTATATCTTAAATATACGTCTAAATAGTGTGTATGCAAATTTTCATACGAATTCAACGCTTTGGTGGCGAAACACAAAAGTTTTAGTTTGTGCGGAGTTTAATTTATTCTACCGTAGATCGTAAATAAAAACTTCGAGATTCAGATAAATCATTCTTTCAACTCCGTAAGAACTTACTTAAGGTGATTTTTCTTTGAAATAAAGTCATAATTGACCAAAATTTACAATGGAAACCACTTTTTAAGTTTATTTGAAATCAGACGCCATCTTGGATGATCAAAGTTATCATCCAAGATGGCGTTCCCATACATATTAACCAAATTTTTCAAATCTTTATTCGCTTATATCTTCATCGAAAAGTACGCTACAGGACTAAAAGCTCGTATTCTAGATAATTTGACTCTGCTCTTTATGACTTGCTACTTGGTTGTTGAAAATAACGAATAATAACGAATGATAAATTTTCAGTTCGGGGGTTGCAACCCAAGAATTAACATATTGTAAGATTAAACCTTCATAACTCATAGGAATATTACACCATTCAATTATATGTTTTGTATAAAAACAACTCATCCAGGAGCAACAATTAAGATCAAAGGCATGACAGGTATGTAAAAAAATACTAAAAAAATCTTGAAAAGACACCAAACTTGACTTAAAAGTAAATGTGTTAAAAACTATTATCAGTTCATTTAAATTTATGMGTATAGAAAGGTTTGTACAGGTGTCACACGATTTGCTCTGATTGGTTGATAGGCGGACGTGCTCATGAAACTCAACGAACCATGTTATTTACGATATTTACGAAAAACAATAATAAATCAATACCTATCTCAGGGTAGTTTGTCCTGACTCTTTTTCGCTGTCCAGTGCGCTTTGATGTCTCATACAGACATTCAATCAGTATTTTACCAGTAAAGCAACACATCACAGCCACCACAAGTATCGCTGCGACCCCTGTCCAGCCACCCATCAGTACACCATACGGTACACCGAGTATCCCTGTCCCTTGGATTAGATTACTGACATTCCATCCAGCCATCAAAGCAGATGCTCGTCGATCAAGAGAAGGTTTGGCGATCAATGAAACAGTAGCTGTGTTGGCACGAAGTCGACGCACACTCTCAATGAAGCYGCTTGCTYTAAATGTTCCATGCTGTCCTGATCGTCCTGCTATCAGCGGGGATTCTTCGTCGACGAGGGCAGTTTGAGCACATTCTTCTTCTCCACTTCGGTCTTTCAAGAATACTTCTTCTCTATCTGTTCCAGTATTCATGCTCGTTTAGAGTCGATTATTAAAGTTATTGGCAAACGAAAATCAAAACACGTTCAATTGGCTAACGTTACATGTGGCCGAGTAAAAACAATAGAAGTCCCCTGAGTAAACTGCTTTTCTATAAACCAATCACACTGGTTAAAAACATACAATAAAAGTGACATGAAAAATAGTTCCTTCTCATCGACAAATTTATTCAAATCCAGAGAAAAACTTTCGTTTAGCATTTAACATTCATTTGTCATGAGGACGAGTTAGGTACTTTGGAAAAATTGTTCACTCACTGAACATTTTATCAGATGGTCATCATTTCGCTTGTTAGGAGTGACACAACACGGTGCTCGTGTGAACCAACTCATTGCATATGCTGTCATTGCAAAGGATTTCCTTTACCCAGCTACAGTGGAATGAGTCGGAAACGCGAAATGGTAAAAATATCAGCTTTAACTATGGTAATGGTCATGTGTTATTGTCAAAGTCATAAGTGCATCTGCTAAGCCCCAGTCCACACTAGTCAGATTACTTGACTATTACTTGATTATTTGTTAAGTGTATGATCATTTATTATCAAGCAGTGATTTATCATACAATTCTCATACAATTATGAATTTATCAAAACTTGATAAAAAAACTTGCGTTGGTCAACATCGATAAAATGTTTAAGTTAGTACAAAGCCGAATGTCACGTGACTTTTAGAACTCTTAGCAATGTATATTTTATTAAAATGTATATACAATATCGTGCAGTTGACGACATTATACATGTCAGACATTTAAGGAAAAACAAATTAGGGGAAAATATTGTAAAAATTGTCCCAAGAGGATGTGCGCGCCCACTACATCAATCACCTGCACCTCCACTGATAACGTTCAGTGATGACGGAGAGTATGGCTTTACCAACGATACTACTAAGATTTTTACTTCAATTTGCTAACAACAACATCAGTATTCTAAAGAGATAACAGTAAAGATATCAAATGCTATGTAGGCAAACATGAACTACATTTAAAAAAATGGAGAACAATATTATTTTATTTCATTCTTATTATAAATGACATTTACATTCTTCAATATAAAATCTAAAAAAAATCTTCAAACTTCGATTTTCAATAAGACAGTTCACGCAGAACCGGTCAAAAACCTGTTATAATGCACGAAATCGCGTTTTAAGAACAATAAATCATATATTTAAGCCATCTCGAGAGAGATGGAAAAAGCAATTTGACGATCGCCGTATACCTGAATATATAAAACTCTCTATCAGATTAATTAGTGTATCCTTCTATACATGACTTTTCAATTGCTGTTTTTTTAGAAAAATGTACAAGATGCTCAGTGATGTTTTGCAAGTAATAAGGCTACCATAACACCGCTGGTGCCCAGTCCCTAACAGTCCTAACATAATACTGCAAAATAGCTTTGCACGAATCAAAGAGAAGAACTTGCAGCTTCATATAAGCGTTTTCCAGAAAAGAACACCCCAAGACCACCACTAACAAAACCAAACACAATCACAAACCATCTCACAGCAATATCATACCACTGCAACTCATTCCACTTCAACTTCATATGGAAATAACATGGAAACAAAAARCACARACAAGTTCCTGTAAAACTCCCTACAAAWCYCATTACCARAGCAAARTGAGGAACCAAAATAACMARGAACAAAGCAAGRGTCAKAAYMAGRGTYCTGGWKATGATGAGCCACACCCAGTGGAATTTYCTTCCRGGACCCAGGTTAGGGAAAAACCCWAGAAATTTGGCRTCRAYAGTYTCRAGRRTTACRWAMARATTRATRGGRAARRYRAGAAACACATTACTAATGACAAACAAATTGGCTAAGATATTGAAAACAAAGCTATTCTTCATGTTGACGGTAATAACTTGATTTGTCTTGGTACCAAAAACCAACACTGCAAGTAGACCAAGAAGGACTTTGATAACAGCAGCAAAAGTGAAAGACCCATTCATCATTAATGGATATTTGTGGGGTTCCTTCATGCTYGATTCAATACCAGGGAAGACAGCATGTGCTGTGTAACTAAACACAATAATACCAAAGCCAACTGGAAAGTYTTTAAAACTGAATGGTGGAATCTTATCAATGGACATCAACTTGTATTGCGTGACACAGCAGATAATCATCGTCAAAATCCCTCCCACAAGCGCAAACACAGACACCATACTGAACCAGGCAATGATTGACACCCTCCTGACAAAGGCCAAAGGTAGAGCAACATAYGTACAAATGACTGCCCAGTGAGATATGTTCAGGGGGGTGATGTTCTTGAATAAGTCACTAAATATAGTAGCAAGAAGTACAATGTACATAATGGTAGC